GGTACCGGGTAAATTACATAAATGAATGAAATAAAACTACATACGTTGGATGATACAAAAAAATAAGACAGCATTGAAAAAAATAAGGTTGCCAGATTCTATGAAAAATAGTTTACATCGAGTTGAATGGAGACACAAGCTGAATTTTCAGAGTAATCTGGCAACACTAAGCAGATCCAAGGAATCATAAAAATCAGAAGTAATCATCTTGAAATATTAATGCAGTGTCCCATAGGCTAAACAACAACACGCGATCTTCTCTACTATCCGTGAATGCGGTTTATCAATGAGGAATTTGACAGAGGGAAATAGGTATGGACCCTCTCTGACTAACACACCAACAGAGCTAACAAACACAACATACGAGTCCAACTGTCTCCTACCAACACATTGACAGAGCTCATAAGCCCAGGTTTTCCATCCAGGACCATGACAAACAGATTGGATAAACCAATCGGACAAGGTAGTTCTACATTCATACCTGTTTTCCTTCTACTCTGAGCAAGGAAGGAGAGAAAATATCTCCTCAACACACATGAATTAAGTTTTTTTAAGAATGCACGAATCTAACGCATTTGTTGTTCTTTAAAACCTTGACTCTACTCTACCTAAACCTTGACCAAACTCTATTTACTAGGAAGTTTTCTTTGAATAAGAGCTGCGAATAACATGGAGTTTAGCAGGTCCATGAACGACCAAGTGGAGCCTATTTACTAGGAAGTTTTCTTTGAATAAGAGCTGCGAATAACATGGAGTTTAGCAGGTCCATGAACGACCAAGTGGAGCGAGAGAGTGTTAGATTTGCAGCTGAATAATGTGTAATTCTTGTTAGTTCTAGACTAAAGAAGGCTTAATCCTGTGATAAAACTTCGAGATATGCAAGAGACTCACTTTTAGCCAGTTGAGCAACATATAGCGGGAAAATCGAGGAACGTTAAGAACGGATGCTTTCAGAACAAAATGAACAATGTAAGGCACTTCGATACATAGGCTCAGCGATTTTTTTTTCTCCAAGCTTTGATGGAATTCTAATAAAAATGATACTTTGAGTTTTTCTGAGCCAACAATTCGCTAATGCCCAAAAATTTGAATTGACGTTGATATAAAAAAAAAAACAGGGGGAAGAAAAAAAGCTTTTTCAATTTCCAAGTTGTTGGAAGAGCTTGTTTTCAATAATATTTTCACTATTGTTAAACTCGTTTCTCATTTGATAGGGCTGATGCACAAAGATTCCACTTCCCACAATAGAGGACAGACTCAAAGTTGATAAACGACGAAAGAATCCAGTTCCTACAGCTTTTCAAAACTTCACTTAGCTATTAATAAGTTCTTTAATCCTGCCTTAAATTAAAGGTGGGCTAATTAAATTCCAAATTCCATGCCTAATTTATCTGCTGTGCCTCAAGATTCCAAGGTCAGGATAGGTTATACATTACCTAACATTATAAAATCTCGAAGAAAAATATTTGGGCAAAAGAAACAAAATTTTGAATGAATTATGATAGTATTACCTTTATGATGAATTAGATTCAAAGGAATAACAAGTAACAAAAATACACATAAAAATTAGAGGAGTATGGACAGATGAAATGCTCCGGTCACTCAGAAATATTTAACTACAAAGGTGGACTTCACCTACAATTCTTTTCAAGGACAGTCCATAAAAAGAAACACTCCAAGACCGGAAGAAAGTGGAGCGACAGAATTTTATTGCGTTACAGAAATATTCAAAAATGCTTCACAAGGGAAGAATCGGAGTTGAGAAATTGGACACCAGGGTTTTGTAACTTTAGAACAACCCTTTGGTGTTAGAAAAGCTTCAGAATAAAGGTGAATAAACTGCAGAGAATAAAAAAAAAAGTAAGTGGGGAAACATCATTATTCTTGGTAGACACGAATGTCACCGGCAGGAGATATGTACATTTAATATATACATTAATATAACACAGCCTAGGTATCAACATCTTAAATTTACTCCGTTGAAAAAAAAAAAAGAAACGAGAGAGTGAAAAAAAACCAATTCTTTTGTTCTATCATCTTAAAATGGGCAAAAATTTAACTACGTAATATAAAGTTTTAGGCTTTTTCAACAGAAGGCAGTGGCAGTCAAAAATAAGCTTATTAAAATTTGAGGAAGGCTTGGACATTTTTTCTTTTATTATTATTTTTGAAGACTACAACAAAATATAGAAACAAAGGTATTTTGCTAGACGTTGAACTCCTTGGACAAAGGTCAGTCTCTCCCTCAAAGGACAATCACAAACGTCTAAATTTTCTAAGAAAAAAACAAAAAAACAAAAATCTCAACTAATGTTTTGAGAGAAGGAAACAGTATTTTTTGTCTCTGACTTTCTTGTCTTTGAAAGGGGTGGGGATCTGATTTACAGGGAAAGAAAAGTTAACTCACTCATTCAATAATCGGCCACAATTCTACTTGGTATTTAAATGATTCTGACTAAAAAACCCACATCTGTTATTTGTGATTCCCTTGCTGCAGCACATACTATGACCAAACAGTCAGCTCAGTACATAAAATTCACAAAAAGTAAGAGTTAAAGAGATTACATTAAGCCATAAAAAATATAGGAGTAAAATAAAATTTACAAGATACAGTTATTTACAGCTTTCTAATCGCGAGTGGCAAGATATAATACAAAAAATATGGGATTGTGGCAATGGGTCAAATGAGACACTCAGTTTGGGTTATTTCGTAAAAACAAAAAATGATAATCTTCAAGGCTAACAAAACTGAGCAGTTCTATGGATGGTTTAATCAAAATTTTTCATCAAACTTTCATGACACCTGCAATTTTTAAAACCATGGGCAATTTCTGAAACCTAATTTATTCTCAATAAGCAGACTAATTAAAATTACCAAAGTTTAAAATAGGCATCAAGAAAACACTAAGTCTTCACAGGTAACCTTAGTCCAAAATGATATTATGAAAATTTTAATAAGTGTGATACCTATTTTTACAAATGGCAGTGAGTGTCAGCAAGAAAATTGATATTTCATTCGTAAAAAAAACCATAAGAGAGATTGGATGGTTAAGAAATTTGAGGCAACCTAGACGTAACTATTTTGCTTGAATCTGTCAAATTTTAAAACAATAGATGCAGGTGTTAAGCTTCACTTTTAAAAAGAAGAAGAAGAGAAGAACAGAAAAAGAGGAGATATCATGGTGGGAAAAAAGTCGGTGCTCAGTGGAAATGTCCAATGGAAAATGTCCAAGAGACAAAATGTCTTGGTTAAAATGTTCAATTGTCATAATGTCCACGACAAAATGTCCAGAAGCTGAAATGGCCAAAATTTAAAACGTCCAAAACCCAAAATGTCCAAAACCTAAAATGTCCGAAACTTAAACGGGCGTAAAACAAGTATTTTTTGCCTCGCCTTTATATGTGGCAACAGGTCAGAGAGACAGCTGAAGTTAATTTCATATTATGAATGGGAGTTCGTTATCAACCGTGGTCTAGTACAGATGTGCTGCTAACCGAGCTCCCTTATCAGTGCGATTATCAAGTGTTGTGTGGTGTGCGTCGCTGTGTGGTAAGATGTAGCTATGCTATTGACTTCGCATTGCGGGGCATAGCCCCTACACACTAGACTTGGAACATTTTACAATTTATTTAATTGTGTAAATCATAAACATTAATAAAATGCCTTTTTATTACACCCATAAAAATGAGCAGCGCAAGGCTGTTTATGCTTACAGGTTTTTATGTGTTCATAAAAAGCCAGTTCATGCATGTGATTTTTGCACACAAAACATTTCCTATGCTATTTGTATCCACGCCGTTTTATGGCGAGTCTGCAAAGAGTGCTGACACATTTTCCAAGCACATGGAATAGATGACACCTGCATACCATTCCAAGGATCCGGACCAGAATTTCCAGAAGATCACTGGATAGTAGATGTGGATATATCCACCTATGCCAGATACAAAAAATACGTCGTCGATAAGGTCTTTGGGGCATAACCCCCACCCTCATCAACCTCTACAGCCAAACCTTTGGAAGAAACTTCAGGATCTACATCGAAAACGAGTTCAAAAGACCCCAATGCGATACCAACCAAAGATTGCGAATGGACAGTTGTGATCAACAAAAGAAAACGAGAAACCAGTTCACCTGACGGTTCCACTGAAGTGAACCCCAAAACTAAATCTAGTAAACTAAAACAGGGGAAAACCCCTAGTAATAACAGTAATAATTTTAATGTGTTAACCGTAGAAAAACCGGATAGACCGGCAGCTAAACCCCTTCCTCTTCCCCTTTTTGTATCAGGAGTAGGGAAACCTCTCATCTTCAAAAATGTAGTATTAGACCCCTTAGTTAAGGACTCTAAAATCCAAATTGTAAATAAATCCCAAGTTAAGGTATTAGTTAAAACCCGTGATGAGTACAATATTCTTTTTAATCATTTCAAGTCTCAAAAAATTAGCTTTCATACTTATCAGTTTAAGGAATGTAAAACCATTAAACGTATGATAAGAGGACTTCCCTCTGATTACCTAGTAGACGACATTAAGTCGTCACTTGTCTCTCAAGGCCTGTCGGTAATTAACGTTACTCAGATAAGGCACTTTATCACCAAGGCTCCAATGCCGCTGTTCACTATAGAAGTTGAGGCGTCTCCTGCAGTCGCCAAAAAACTTGAGAAAATTAATTCGATTAATAATCTGATAGTAAAATTCGAATTCATGAAAAAAAGTAAAGTAATTGCTCAGTGTCCAAATTGTATAGCATATGGGCATACTAAACACTACTGTCACAGACAACCGAGATGCGACATCTGCGGCGATTTTCACGTCGCAGATGAATGCCCTCGTAAAAAAGAGTCTTTGTTGACCCTTACACCCCTTGTTCCCACATGCGCCCTTTGTGGCGGTCAGCACTTAGGGAATTACAGAGGGTGTAGGGTCTATAAAGATATCAAAAAGAAAAGACTATCAAAGTTTGTTAACCATAAGGTAATCCCGCCCTCAAATCTCACTCATCAATCGAGTAATCTCCCAACAAATAGCTACGCTTATGTCCTCAGAGGAAACACTCAGCCCAACTCAAAAAATACGAATAGTAACGACGCTAATCTTTATCAATCACTTGATAAACGTCTAAACACTCTTGAGCGTATAGTTACAGCACAAGCCGAACAGATCTCATCTCTACTTTCCACCATTAGTACCCTAATACAGTCCATAAATAAAATGGAAGTAGAAAACTAACTTAAACAATTCCAAGTGTGGAGGCGGTGTGGTGGGGTGGGGGTCGGGGGGGTGGATGTGAGGAAAGTTGTGAACACCATTAAAAGAAAAGCACGGGAAGCCCCGAATGACCGCCCAGTAAGCATAGTGAGGGAAGTTGTAGGAGCTGTAAGTGCCGAGGATGTGCTAATGACCTTGCCTGATAGAAATTTATTGAGGCGTATTGTTAATTCCGTACAAAATAAAGAGCGGCCGCCAGTTCCAGCTTCGTTACAGGATATCGTTATCGAACCACCGTACAACTCGACAAAAAATCAAGAATTATTCCTACATTACGACTCGGCAGAAACCTTACCGGATAATAGATTTTTAATTTTTACAACAGAAGGAAACTTAAGAATCTTATCAACTTCCAGGCTGATTTACGGTGATGGAACATTCAAGACTGTGTCGCAACAATTCATGCAGCTGTAAACGATACACGGATCATTTCAGGGACACGTCTTTCCCTTAGTTTACGGCATTATGGAAAGGAAGACGCAGGAGTCATATAAAGCCATGTTGCAGCAGCTATTAAACATTGCGGGAGAAATGGCTATTGCCATCGCTCCGAAGTACGTTTTGACAGACTTTGAACAAGCTGCTATTAATGCTTTCCGAGCTGCATTTCCGGATGCAATATTACAGGGATGCTTGTTTCATTTCAGCCAAAGCATATGGAGAAATATTGTCGGCAGGAGTCTACGTGGAGCATATATGGATCGAGAGAACCCGGATAGAAGGCGGCAAATGCAGCAGTTTTTCGGATTACCGTTCCTCCCTCTGGAAGACTTAACAGATGTGTTTGACGATATCGTCGCGGACATTGAAGACGAAGACATACTGGACCTGGCCTCCTACATAGAGCACACATACATTCGAGGTTACCGGGCACGGGGAAGGAGAGCGGCAAGACCTCCGGTTTTCCCACCAGAATTCTGGAATGTATATGAATCAGTTACCAACAGAATGCACAGAACGACGAACATTGTTGAAGGGTGGCACAGTTTGTTGCAGGGGCTAATATCAGCGCACCACGTGAATATTAGGCGATTTATTGAGCACATCCAAGCTGAACAAAATGACGTAGAATAGCTTATTACGCAGATTCGAGGTGGTCACACTCAAATAAAACATCCGATTAGTCGCCGGTATATCACTAATCAAGCCAGAGTGGAAAGTATCGTGGCTAGCTATGGGCAATACAAGGAAGATGAAGCAGTTGATGTTATCTGAGAGCCATTCCCTACAGATTGAAGAAACCCAAAAGAATTGAAGAAGAAAACGAAGAAGGAGAGGCTTGAGGCATTATGTAAGCTGATGTTAAGTCATTTTAATTTTGCATATATGTGGACCTATGGGACATAAGGGACATTTTGCATATGGGACATTTTGCATATAGGACATTTTAAATTCTGGACATTTTAGCTTTTGGACATTTTGTTGTGGACATTATGACAATTGGACATTTGAAATAGGACATTTTGTTTACTGGACATTTTTTATTGGACATTTTTTATTGGACATTTTTTATTGGACATTTCCACCTGTCACCAAAAAGTCTCATGAAAAATTCACTGCTAGTCTGGCTAAACTACTTTCAAAATATTTCATTTGACCGTATGCAAATTTTTAATTATTTTACAAGACTTAATGTACAAAATGGAGCTAGAAAACATAATGGAGATTACCTGGAACTAAACCAAAACAATCAAGAGGTAGGATCAGCTCAAAATCTAGTGGTTAATTTAATTTTCAATAGCACCATCGTCGTCAATTAATAAAAAGAAGTAGCAGACGGGACTTCCAGACAAGGTTAAGAATTTTTCAATTTCTTGGGAAGTTTTCATCAATCAGCGAGGATTTTGAAACCTTAAATTTTTTAATTTCGATTAACATGGAGAGCAATTTACATTCTCTCAATTAGAAATTGGAGTACTTCTTCCAATGGCAGTGCGAGAACATCTATTTAATTTTAAATACTTAAAATAGGTTGAGCCAGCAAATTTGTAGCCAGCAGTCTTGGGACTTAGGAGCTCAATTCGACCCATTCCTTTCGAAATCGTGGAATGATACGCCATCATCTCAATGGTCGGTACGCCAAACCTTTAGGATTCATCACATGAGAAGGAATCTGAAAAAAAAATAAAGTCAAGTCATTATCACACATTTTAATGTACATGACCTTTTAAGTTAGCTTACACTAAGAGTTTGTCAATGGTGAGAGCCCCCCCCCCCCCCCCCCCAAACAAAGAAAAAAAAATGGCAAGACTATACAGATTTTAAAAAAGTAAAAACAAGAATGTCTGCTGGCGATGGGTTCACAGTCAAAGTATAAAGGAAGAAAATACGATACGTTTGTTTTTCCCTCCTTCCTCTTTAATTTTCACAAAGAAAACAATGGACCACTGGACAAGGTACGAATTTCAGCATTCTGATACATGTTTCATACCTAAAATTTCACGTAGAACACGATGCGCACAACAAAAATTATCGAAATTATCTCCTTACGAAGATATTTTATGATTCTTGATGCGTGAATTCAAACCATCCGCTCATGAAAACTCAATGCTCTACGTGATTCACATCCCGCGCTAAATGTTATCATAACAGTCTCTGCAATATAGAAATCTAGCAACCTCAGTCTTGACACTTTGGCTCAGCTATAGCAAATTGCTTATAGTTTGAAAAATACATGGCGGGAAATGAACATTGCTCGGTTGAGAAGCTTGCTGAAACCGTTGTAGTGCGCGATTTGACTCACGCAGAGCTTTGAGTTTCTTGTGAGCGGGCAGTTCAAATTCCTCGTAACCAATGTGAAATAAAAACGTTAATATCTTCGTTAGGAGTTGGTTTCAGTAATTTTCGTTGTGTGAATTGTGTTCTACGTGAAATTCTGGTTAAGGAACATGTATCAGATTAGTTAAATTCGTACCTTGTCTAGTGGTCCATTAGCGCAATGTAAAGTTTAGCCCTGCACTGAAATATCAGCGAATTCAAATCAATGGGTGTTTTAAGATTCTTATCTTGCCCCCTTTGTATTATAACAACGAGTAAATTCAGACATCTTTCATAGATTGTCTGTCCAAAAAGTACCTGAACTGCTTCTGCAATTCAAAAATTAAATCAGCTAGATACTTGATCTGAGTATCATTTTGAAGATCAACTTAAATACTATTGGCAAAGATGAAGGTCAACTTATTTGGTAAAAAATTGACTAAGTTGTGACAGTTTAAGTAAACAAAAAAACAAAAAACAAAAAACAAAAAACAAAAAAAAAAAACTAATGGGGCCACTTACATTTTCCGAGAACATGTTATCATACCTTTTCATGATTCTTTCTCACTTTTTCTGACTCCTAGAGATTATTCCTTTCCTTCTCAAATAAAGGAAATTGAATTTAAGACATTTCTTCACGCTCTCTTGCCACTTGTTTAACATGTTTTTTTTTTTTTCTTTGTTTTTTCTTTGTTTTTTTTTTTTTTTTTTTTTTTTTTTTTTTTTCTTTTTTTTTTTTCTTTGTTTTTTTTTTTGTTTTTTGTTTTTGTTTTTTTTTTTTTTTTTTTTTTTTTTTTAATTTCTCTGATGGAATTGCTGTGAAAAACTTCTGGACTTCTGTCTTGATTTCTGCTTTTGACTCAAATTTTCTACTTTGAAACACTTTCCTTTGCAACATAATATCCAATTGATTTAAATGGTGAAACATTTTCTGCACAAGTACTATAATTACTTTAAAATTGAAAACGTTGAAACCACATCCCACCGATGATGAACTGCCTGCCCAAAACGCATTAGTCGTCAACTCAATTCATAAATTTGTCACGGGTGAATTTTTAACGTTTTAAGTTTTAAAATAATATCCAATGACAAAATTTGCTCATTATCTAATTAATTCTGGGTCTCTTCTCATGACTTGATCTAAAAGTATTGGCAAAAATGAAACCAAAATCACTCAAAAATTGCTGCCTAAACCGTACACTCAATGTCAGCTTTCACCGACTGGTGTGCAGGGTGGAACGGGGTGGTTGGTGGATGGTGGATGATTCTGCTCACTATAATCAGATCTGCTCCGACATGTTACCGCATATTCTGTCATTTAAGCGCTCTACATGAACAGTATTGCCAGATAACTTTGGGTTTCTTGTGATGTCTTGTAGAGTTGTGCCAATGACAGTATTTTTATACACTACATTGTACTAGAAAAATATTCCTGTTACAAACGGGAGGGGACTCCCATATTTTTTCACCTAAACTGGCATAACTGAGCAAATAGAGTGAGATATCAGTTTTGACGGACTTTGAATGCACTTTGGCGAAATCACCAACACGCTGTCTGAACTACTCGTGCGTTGAACTGCAATCTGTTTGTCATAACTTTGTCAATTGATCTTAATCTTTATCGATAGAATTTGAACTAATCTTCAAGTGGCTTAGTTTTTTTTTTAAATTGCAGAACCGGTTCAGGTAGTGTTTGGACAATTTTATTTAAATTGGAGCGAATTTTTCATAAAAGTACCATAATTTACTCTAAAATTTAAAAAAGGTTAAACACGTCATAACACTCACTGGTAATGACTTTTACTTTAAGTTGCAACGATGAAGGACTGCTTGCCCAAAACACGTATGCTATGAAATTTGTAAAAAGTGTCATGAGTGAGTTTTTCAACGTTTTTAACCTTTATTAAATTTTATAATAAACTTTCTGGACAACCTATGTAAATTAGGTTACATATTGCAAGCTGATGCCTTATTCTTTTCATTTGTATTTCTTTGTAAAATTTAAATAATTTTTCCTTCACACAATAGTACACAATTTTTATCACAAAATCGTGTAATTGCGTTGTTTTAAATTTATCATTAGCTAAACTTCAGCAGAATATGGTCAATTGAGAATAATTCAGTTGCGACCCATGAGTATTTGATTAATGAATGCAAAATTAGTGATTTGATTTTGAGTGAAAAATTTAATTGTGACTGTGTTTGAATGATGTTTAGTCGATCAAAAAATCTGCTTTCAAACGGCATAATACTCATACGATGTTGTGAAAATTAAAGTTTTACTTGACAAATTCTGACTTTGATAGTTTTCTTTTTTTCCCCCCTAAAGAGGATTTAATAAAATACTGACGATGAAATATTATAAGATCAGACACTTAGAAACGTTGACTACATTGAAAATGCATAAAAATAAATTTGTCAAGCATTAAAAACCCAGGGGAAAGGAACTTTATTTTCAGATGTACATTGAAAATGTTAAGTGGATCAGTACTTTGTAAAGGGGTATACAACGGAGAGATAAAAAAGATTAGGAATGCATTATTAGGTGTGTTTAGGGACTGGCCGGCGTTAAGAATTTAAAGAAAAAAAAGTTTCAAAGGCAATTGTGGCTGAAGTAAATTAAGTAAAAGCAGGTGAGAGAGGATTCTAAATTATCCAAAAGCTTCCTTTCAGCAGCTGATTGCAATCTTGGAACTGAGAACTGAAGATTGTGACAGAAGCTATATGGGTAAAGGAGTTATTCAAATACTTCAAATCTATTTTGTAAATCCTTCATTGCATGAACAGTTTAGCAAGGGTGCAGAGAGTTCTAAAATGCTAATTGTTTCTTGCAGCCATTTCACAATCTCATCTCCTATTATAATTTTTTTTGAAGGGAAGCAACCAGCATTTTCGCTTACAATTTTGTGGGAAAAAACCTTCACAAGAGCAAGAAAAATTGCAATAATTTTCGAGAAGGGATGATGATTGGATTCCGTTCAAAAAATTAAATTACAAGATGAGATTTCGAAACACCGTGATGCAGACGTGACTGTTTAGATTGACTCAATTCAATTGTATAATCAATAATTTTCTGCACCCTGGAGAAGTAGCTCCCTCTAATATCAGGGGAAAACCTCTGAAAGTTGCTAAGATGATTATTGGTGATAGAAAGCAAAAGCAGTTTCCCTGAATCATCGAAATCAAATCAATAGAGTAATAACCTTTTGGCTTCCAACCCCAGAGGATCAATCTGACTTGGTTGAAAAAGGTTAATGAGCTTGTATTTCGAAATCATCACTTTTCAGTGAGAAAATGTAAAAGCAGATTTTCCCTTGCAAGACTGCTTGATAATTATTTTAAAACATGCACCTTCGTAACTAAAAATCGAGCTAAGTTACGATAGTTCTTCTTAAACATGACTGTGTGGTCATGCTTGCACTTTCTTCAAATTTAAACGTGCAGTAATTGGAAGATTTTCCACCTCCCTCAGCTTAAAGAGGAGACAAGAACTAAAATTAATTGAAATGCAGGCAAAGTAGAGGTTTTGACATTAGCTGAGCATTAGCTGAGACTTAAAATCTCACCAACAGTGTTTGCATTATATTGAAGCTTCGTTTCCACCATCAAAATGGGTTATCGATAAGATTGTTGAGCGTTGCCGATCAAAATTAAAAGATGCCTCTAGGTTTAGATCAACATAAATTGTGAACTGAGTTTAAAATTATATTTATTTGATGCTCTGCTTGCGATGTATGTTGATTGAAAAGTAACAGCGTCTCTGGATTTTGATCAGCAACGCTCAACAGATACATTGATGACTTATTTTGATAAGCTCATTTCGATCATGGCTATCAAAATTGAGAAAGCAATGACCTCTTGGGGGCTTATTAAGCTCAAAGATAGCTGTTAAATCTTAAAAATAGCTCATGTCACAAGGCAGCATGCAAAAAAATTCATTGAATTGATGCAGGAGACAAAATGTGAGCAGAACTGCACATAGTATTTCAAGTTATGTTCAAAACATTTTATCTCCTCGTGTTTTTTGATACAAGTGTCAGAGGAAAAATTATCAGTAGCGCGATTTTGTGAGATTCAATTGTTAGATAGGATTTTGAAACAATGATGGGGAACTCTATCTGAGGTCCTTGAGAGAAAGTTGCGAAAGGTTTAGTTCACTTTTCTACCTGAAAAGAACCCATAGTCTCATGATAATCTAACAATTTGATATCCTGAACATGAGAGATAAAAATGTTTAACAGCTGTTTCTTAACACGACCTTCCTTCAACTGTAAACTTCAAATCGCCAAGTATCCCATCTTGTTTGACATTTCATCGTCTCCCGCACAAAGGGACTTATCATGTCTGTGTTGTTTCGGCATTCCTGCAAACATTTTATTTTTTCAAGGCAGAACAGTTGGCTCGCCCAACTTTCCTAGAAAATTTTAGTGGCTCTTCTAGCAAATGTAAAGAAAAATCACAGGAATTTCTGGCAACTTCATGCGACAGTTCTCTAGTAAAAAAATAAAACGTATGTGGAAAATGCTGAAACAGCAAGCTCAGGGTGTGTTCCTTCCTGCAGGGAGTGACGGTTCGTGGATGTTCTGTCTTAATGTGCTCACAGGACTCTCGTCTAGGCTTGGTTATCAACAGCTCAATTTTTACTTTTTTGTCAATTGAAGTCCCTTTCTGATCCACAGTATCACGTTAGAAAATTAGTTTTATGTTTCATTTCATCATGTTTCATTAAATCCTAGACCTTCACTACCCGTTCCATATAAATGTCTAAGGCTCTTGTATACAGAATCTCGGCCAAATCATTTTACAATCTAGTTTCCGATACGATTGACTTAGGGGAGTCTGTTTCAATTGGAAGTTAGCACAAACATGCAAGCAAATTTTAAGTACACTAATTTTTATGTTTCCTCAGTGATGTACTATAATCCACTCCTGGGCAACCAAATTGAATTCTCCGGTTAGGTTTGCATTATAAAACGTAAATTAACAAATAAGCAGACTGCAGCCAGGCTCTCCTACCCAGTGGCTGCTATTTGAGCACTCCAATTCTAATTCGAGCAGTCATTTTAGCTGTGGAAAAAAGTAGGAAGATAGCAATATTTATCATTTCCAGCTGAATTTCCTGAATTTGATTCCTTTAGAACCATTCAGTTTGCACTCGATCAAGATTAGTGATGCAATGTATCTGAGTTCAGGAAATTTCAAGTCGATTCAGATATGCGGATTTTCCAGAGCGATTTGAGCATTTGCTTAATTGGATATACTATTAATTAGTTAGAAAATAAAAGAATTGCATTTCGGAAAGAAATAGGATATTTTCTACAAGCCATTCTGGACAGAGAAGATGCGATAGGTTGTAAGACAGATGAGTGAATGCAGTGTAGGCTTGTTACAACACACGGACGCATCACACTTTTGCAAGCTTAAACAAAAAAGTAATATTACTGTTTTGAAAACTCACACTCGCGCAGTATTAATACCGAGGGGTTTTATCCAGAGCTACGAAAAAGTCTGATCGAGAAAAGTCAAATTTACTGAGGAAAAAAAGAAAATCGAAATAAAAACCTTCATAAAATTAAAATGCAAAATTGACACAGTTTAAAGATCTGGTATTAGAATGAAAGAATAAAACCAAAAAAAAACAACAAAAAGGCAAAGAAATAAATCAAAAAGATTATTGAATCCCAAAGAAGCTGAAAAAAAAATTAAAAGCATCCCTCTCAAATACTGCCAAAAGCAGGTATTAAGGAATTGAATTAGAATGATATGGACGTTAAATTTGGCAGGTAAACGTCAGAATGAGGGTGAGAAAGCTACGAATATTACTTTGATAATCATAGCTATTGCAACACTTCATTTGCACCAGATAAGATCTAGGTAAAATTCTTTGTTTGATTCTACTGCTGGTAAGTGCAAGCAGTAAATCATGCATTCTCTAAAAATTTTGCCCCGAAAAAGCGCAATTTCAAAACTGACAGGGTTCGTGACAGCTAGTAAAAATAAAAATCAAGGACTTCCGAGAATCTTTTTTAAAGAATTCCGAGACAATTTCAGTGCCTTATCAAGACGTACCTGAGAATTTTAAGGGCCTAAAAAAAACCTTGAAAATGTTCATTTTCTCTTCAGTGCCTTCATTCTCTGATTTCTGAATGAAAGCAAGCTATAAGAAGCAGACATTGTTTTTTGACATTTTCAAATTTTCCATTATAAATGAAAAAAGACTGATCTCCTGAACAGTTGTGAATTTAATCACTTTACATGACGTAAAATTCAGGACTGTAGAGAGCATATTGCTGTCATTATCGAAGCAGAAATATTCACTGCCTTTTTAAAGCGACACGAACCCTGAATTATGATAGGCAGTTCTTGGCGGGAAAGGGGGTATGGGCTCTGGATATAATGAAATTCCCGAGAATGCTGATAATTAGACTAGAAATAGTTTTTACCGACTGGATACTTCCACCACTCCTGACGGTCAGCGAGTTTGTAAAAATTATTAACATTACAGCTTTGTGACCTCCAACGTCTAATAAATAAATCAAGAACACGAGTGATAAAAGTGAGCTTAACTCTCTACATTGGGTAAATGCAGCATTTCCGAGGTAGATCGCCTGACATCAAACTCCTCTACCTGGGAGTTTTTATAGAGTGGTTAAGTGCAAGTATTCAACTTGTTGTACTTATGATGACAGAATTTTGTAGTTCAAATGCTAAACATAAAACATAGAGAACTTCTTCAGACACTCAAATCAGCTATTTAATTTTGCAACTAGTTTTGTGTGCTCAGCGGTAAAGAGAATGCTTGTCTCATCCAAGTCATTTTTTCCTGAATATTCTGAAAAAGTATGTTTTATTCATTTATATTTTTTTTTGTCATTTAAGTTAAAAAAAGACACTCATTTACTTTCAGCATTATTACATCATTTGATTATCCATTAGTTCAAAGAAAATTGCCGGCGTTACTTCTTTCCCCCAATGCTGTGGCTTATCTATGCAGGCAAACTTTTACCAAACTAGTCCAGCAAACTCTAAGGCATACTCTGAGTCGATGAAATCCTGGTGAAATTCTGGCGAAATTCCAACTTCTTTCCGACTGGTTCAACAAACTTTGAGAATATTTCTGCCGAACTAGTTTGATGATCTCCTGAGGAATTCCTTTGATCAGCTTTAAATAATTTCTGTTGGACTAGCTCGATTAACTTTAGAGAGCTTCTACGGTAGTGGTTTGATGAATTTCCTAAAAACTTCCTGCCAAACCAGTTTGACAAACTTTCCGAGGAATTTTGCACACTCAATGATAACATCACCTTCGGACTACACAAAACCAATTTCGACTGAGCAGAAAAACTTCTTCACTAAACTGGCTAAGACCAAGTTTGGAAGAGTTAGCTCTCATAGATGAAGCCAAGACTAGCAGTGCAGTTAATAGCTGTCACAACTCCTGACTGTGAGGGTTATATTAATTTCGACACAACGTAATAAAAGAAAAATAAAAGGAATGCATTAAAATTTTTGGACAAATAACGTTCGTACTGATACCTGTAAAAAGTTCATCCTGGAAATCACACAACTGTCAGACAAACTCAGCAATCAAGGGCAAAAACACTTAAAACTCGTTATTCAAGTTACTGAGCACAACATGGAAAAAATAAGTCCATCGCACGCTTGCTAAGACTTGAAAACAATTTTTGACAGAGGAAATATTCGATGGTACTTACACTGGCTCCTATCCTGGACAGGAATCTATTTCTTATATACAAATCTGAGTGAGGCTGAAGCAAGTCCGAGTGTGGCTGCAGCAAATCGTGAGGCGTGATATCAGACATTGAGCCTGCTGCCAGCAGCTTTTCGTGCTCTAGAATTTCAGCGGCTCTGGAAAAAGCAACATGAGATTTAGTCACGTAAACTGACATAAAATTTTGTGAGAAACACAAATGCACTGCTGGTTTTGTCTAATATCAACCTCTGAGGTAGAAAAAAGCTCTTTGAGATATTGACGATTAAGGTGCAAAACCGTTCATCTTCGTTACTGTGTTTCAAAATTTTCGCTCCTTTATTATTTATTCGAAGAAAAACAAGCCAACTTTGAGCTTGATATTCATACAAAGTATTCTGCAGACAGACGTCAAAAATCAAGGAAGTTTTCAAGAAATTATGCTGACTAGTTTTCCAAAGGAAAAATAAAGTATGACAGGAAGTCTACAACATCGTAAACCGAGATAGGTGGTTTCACACGTTTGCAACTGATATTTTCATAACAATTTCCATAACAACGTGCTTTCCAGTGCACCAGAGATGCTTGCCACCTCATGATTTTTCATCAGACTTTGAAACAAAACAATAGACTTTTAAATTAAACGATTGAATTCTCTTGACTAGAGATTGTACTTGGTAAAAACATACAACATACCTACTACTCGTTTATACTTATTAAAAAAAATGAAACATTTGGGGCGCTTCCTGTGCAATTAACTGGTGAAATGTGCATAAAGATGTGAAATTAAGCATACGGATTCACTAGTTTTGTGTTTCAGTACTGTTTGCTGAAATTTTAAGAGAAAATACCAAAAATGTGTTTTTTGGCACAAAGGGATAAATCTCATTTGCACCATTTCAGAATTTCTGCAAGCATTTTATTTTTTCGAGAGAAAATGGTTGGAAAAATTAATCTGAAAATTTCAAAGTCTTTGCTCACATACTTAAGTAAAGAGAAATTATGAAAAAGTTCAGGAAAATTCATGTGACGGTTCTCCTATTGAGAAGTAAAATGTAAGTAGGAAAAACTGAGACAGCACATTCGAGATACGCTCCTGCGTACCTCCAGAGACAACCTTCCGTACCTTTTCAACCTCAAAATTTCTTCTCTCAGAGCATTGCAGTAAGCTAAAGCATCCTAAAATCACACCACCTTAGTACCACTTGGTAATTACACAATTTCAATGATTAGCCAGAAAGATAATTTTAATTAAGAGGAGTTGTAAATCTTTTTCTAATAAAAAGAAAGAAAAAAAGGAGAATTTTCCTTAATTTTAAACAAGCGCCAAATGAAAACAAGGATCACGGAAGGATTTCTACTTTTCAGCTACAACATTGGTTCAATAATTCATGATACTGATTGTGACTGATTTAATCATGGGGTTTTTGAACAAACCAGCAAATAGAATGATTGATACTTACAATCGATTCCGCTCATAGATTTCTCTTTGTTTCACAGTCATATTTAAGATTCCGGAAGTCATATAGTCATGAATCCAGATAAATATGATCATCATGAGAGCCACTGAAATTAAAATTTATTCCAAGTTAATGAAAAAAATGACATAGAATTGCATTAATTTCGGGGGAAAAACAATATGCCGGAGAGCATATTAATCATGGTGAGTGAAATATTCATAAGCATTTTGTTTGCGATATTTTAAATAATTACACTTTTGGAATCGACTTTTTGGATGGTATAATTTTGAACAGAATTTACTCTTAATTTGAAAACAGAAACAAAGTCCTGAAATGGGGAATCAAAATAAATTAAAAAACAAACAAATTTTAAGAAAAAGATTACGCAAGGAGTGCCTAGAAAAGCTGAAAAGGGAAAGTTTCAAGATCTTTTGATGAGATGTTCCTTAGTTCTCCTGACAAAGATAAACTTTTATGATTAAATTTTTTTTACGCCAATCATGAGTAAATTGATTGATTGGTCTTAGAATAACGTATTATGGCGGACAGAGGAGTGACACTGTTACCTAGGAGAAGATGCAGGCCTTTTATTTCGAACTGAAAGGATGCCGCTCTGTCGTATCTCCATAGCTGGCACCAGATGTGAAAAAGGAGCTCGCTCCTCTATCACCTTCATTTTTCCACATAATAATTTTAAAACTGCTGACAAATGCTATTTTCAGACCTGATTTTCTCGAGATTGACACAACGAAAGTTGGAATTTAAAAGATCATCTAACTCAAGAGATCGTAAGAAATGTCATATCAAAAGATCTTGAAATTTGACAGGTGCTTGCCTTACTATTTCGTGCTTAGTTCAATTTGGTCAGGTGTGAATTGGACAAGAAAATTGACTTACAGCCGAGGCAGAATAAGAAGAAACATTCTAGCATGAGATAACCTCCCATATCTACGATTAATCCAGCAAGCATGGCTATTAGAGCTAGACCGAGATTTTGAACTGACTGGGCTCTGTAAAAGACAACATAAAAAATTAAACGAGAAATGAAAGGGATTGAATTGAGGAAAACTTTAGATGCCTTTGTTGTAGAACGCTGGTGCATTGGCGCATCTTATTTTACATTTTCATCATTCTGACATTTTCAAGACTGGGAATCAAAAGTTTTTCGGGAAAGTTACATTCTGAGAGCGGAATGCCCTGGGAACTTTCCCAGCTGTTCCTAAAATTTTAACAATATTAAGTACTTTTCCATTTAAAAAATAAATTACGGAAGGAAGTATTTTACCATCTCAAACTGATAGATATTTTTGAAGTCTCAAAACCAACATAAAGATTCAATATTAAGTATTATAGAACAGCTGCAGTGAGTTCCTTGATTGAACTGATGAATTTTCTAAGATGGAAATTCTTTTTACCCTTCTTAATGTTAATAAAATGAAAAACTGTTTTGGGGCCGTTCATAAACTTTCTTCTTTTTTTTTTTTTTACTACTTCAAATGGCCCAAAAGGGCTAATCCTGGGCTTAAGTCCCGTCCCCCTTCGGTCCCTAACAAACAGTCCTAGACAACCATTATTTGAGACCATCAAATTCGGATCGCCTGGCCAGGAATCGAACCCGAGACCTCCCGATCATAGAGCTAGCGCTACAGCCACTACACCATAGGCGACCGACACACTATCCAAACACTCTAAGAGAGGAGGATGGTTGAGGAAAGTGTTGCGCCATTTTGTTTTTGAGTGTTATGTTAAAGATAAGGGCCTACATTACAAGAGCAACATCACAAGGAGGAAGGTGATTGAAAAATACAAAATTTAGCGTTGTGCATTACATAAATGGCGTCTTTTGATACTGATGCAATGCTTTATAACAGACAAAATTGTTTCTGGCAATTACTTAACCCATTGACTTAAACCGACGGCTCCCAGCCGTCCGCGTTACGCTGGGCCAGATCGGAAGAGACTGCTCAGAGCCATCCGTCGATTGTTTGCGTTATTTCGACGATTCTCCGGTAGATTGCGTTCTCACCAATGTTTATATGAGTAGTGTGTAGCCACCGTATGACTTATTGTGTATAGTAATTTCTTATTTTGTTACGGTATTTTCATATTACTGTGCGTTTGCACATGAAATAGCCACAAAATTTTCTGATTTTCGCTGATTTTGCGATTTTTGCGACTTTGACAGCTACAAACCACAATAAAAAAATCATTGTGTTCAAAGTTTTCACAATTTTTCTCAAACGTTGTATTGTGAATGCTTATTGTGTCAATTTTCACCCTTGGAGAAAGAATTTCTGGATTATTTTGAAGTATCCAAAGTTACTGTTTTTCGCCAAATTAAATCGTAATTCCTGGCCCGGCAGGGTTAAATTAAATCATAAGTCGGGTTAAACTTGCAATGAAAGTAAAATTGACAAGTTTGAGAAGAATCAGTTTAAAAACGGTCGACTTACATTCCATATGCTGTTCCTAACTGGTACTCTGGAATGATGAGACCAATAATAGGCCACAATGTACTTGACACTGTTGTATAACCGACAGCCATACATACCTGAGGAAAAATACAAGAAAAGTAAAACCAATGTAAAAGCAAAAAAACTATAAAATGTGTAGAGATTTCATAAGATTTGTAAAGATTTTAGAGATGCATAGACAAAAGGAGACAAGAAATTGCAAAATGTCAAAATTTCAGTTCTTGTTTATTACATCAAGTTGACTTCCTGAAAAAAATGGAATTTCCAAAACAAAATTACTTCATTGTATCTGACAGAAAATTGCACATTGAGACTTCAATAGTCTAAAAACAATAGAAATAAGTCATCTAAATGCAATATAACAAACATACCATGCCATAATAAGGATTCAAAAAGGTGAAAGCGAGCAGGCTGTGACCAATGATCGTCCCCAAAATAGAAAAAAACGCCCACATTACATTGCAGCCCGTTTTGTCTAGGGCAAGACCGATGAACGGAGACAGGAAACCAGCAATAAGATAAACGATACTATTTACAAAGTTAGCTTGACTAGGTTCTAAATCAAACTTCCTTTCGAAAAAGACTCTGCAAAAGATGTAATAAACAATGTAATATTCAGAGAAAAATAAGTCAAAAACAAGATAGAAAAAAGATGGATTGATTCCTAGCTAATTGAAGCACTCTAGAAATTTATGTTCAGATCAACTAGAGAAACCATCCAAAATAAGCAAAAAATTGTAAATTTCTTAATCACATATCCATGGAAGAATTTTCAAAATATTGGAAAAAATCTCTCATTAATCAAATGTGAGTTTTACTTATCCAGTAATCTTGATAATATGTATGAGAATAATCCTCATTCTTTGATCCCATTTAAGTTCATCCTGAAATTCCAGTACCATAATGGGACTTACACTCATTAATCTGACGAGTCGTAACAAGGCTGTATCCAAGAGGATGAAAAATCTTGACTCCCTCTCAGAAGAAAAAATCATAATTAATTGGGAAATTGCAAATCCACGTATTTCTATTTACAACACTGCAGACTTTTTGTCGTAATCATTTTTTCGTTGGAAAATTAGCCGGCATAATTTATTGAAAAATTTCTTGATTCATCTTTTCTTTTATTAGGATATTCTGAATAAAGTTTGATCAATAAAGATGGCTTCTTTCTCTTCAAAAAAATCAAATAGGAGTGGAAATTATAAAGTACTGTGGTAGAGATACGTTCTTTTACATTTCAGTCATCGAATTCTTGAGAGAAGACATGCTACAATTGAGGACACCGCACCAAGAACAGCCTATAGGCGTATAGGTCGTTATTACGCCCATCTGCTTTTCGGATTCTACGTACCCTGGACTGTGCTGTGGTAGCGATAGAATATAGATAGGTAACAGCTAGAGGTCGAAAAACCTTTTTTTCCGATGTAAGTCAGGCCTCTGGATCGATGGGTGCAAGAACGACCTACAAACAGGCCTATAAACTTAAGGGCCTATAAGGTGCTAGTTACCCCTATCTTTACTCACTATCAATATTCTTTCATTTTGCGTTAATCATGCGTGATTAAAATGATTTATACTTCATATTGCCACCAAAATGACTGTTGGGAGTAATAATGGCCTATAAACCGCTTTTTTAAAGTAAATATATGAGAGTATAAACCCAAAATGTATCGCAAAATCTACCCGGCATCCTTCAATAAAAGGGTTAGGTCACCCAAAAACACCAAAACAGGGTACCCGCATAGAAAAGTCTGCGCAGTACATCAAAAACAAAACTTTAAATGCGTTTTTCTCAAAACGCGGTTTCCAGTAATAGGCTGTTTTTGGTGCAGTGTCCTCTATTACTCTTCTGATTTTCTTTGTAATTCCAGATCCATGATTTTTTGAGCAGTGGCAAGGATTTCCTGAGATGACGGAAATAAATATTACTACATAATAAGTGACAATAGCAAATGAGACTATCCAGAAAGATTTTAGGAAGCTCATGATATCGAGAGATATAGAACAATGGGAAAGTCACTCACTTTCCTAAAGCGACGAAGGGAAATATTGCCACATAGTAAGTGACGATAACAAAGGTGACCATCCAGAAAGATTTGGGAAAGTCTTTGATATCTGTTAACCGCACAACCTCCTCCGCCTGCTGTTGATTGTTTGCACTATTTACATGATGCGCCCGCTTGTCCATCCACGCCAATATGGCAGAACTTATCAGTGATAATAGACAAGTTCCAGATGCTGTGAAAATAAGATCAAAGGCACAAAATTAACACTTGGATCTCTTTGGAAACAAACATAGTAAAACACAAATGGATACAATTTTTGCGCCAGGACGAAAGTCTTTAACAATGTGTACTTCCAAAAATTAACGGTCAGTTTATTCACATTTTCTACAAGAAAATAAAGAGTTTCCTTGTTTTCAATATATTTTCAATAAAATTACTGAGGAGATTCTCTCAGTTGCCTATCAGCACATCAATGAATTGTCCATGATAATTCTGAGATCCTTTAATATACTTACTCCCGTATGCAAAAAATTGATTTAAATGAAGAAAAGACAATTGCAAATTTTGTGAAGAAAACAGTGTGATTTCAGGGTCGATGTGATGGATTTGCTTGTGTCACAATAAATTGATTGTCGATATGATTATACTGAGAGATTTAAAAGAGCACAAACCTACTATTGCACTCATATATGCAGATATAGATGACCAAAGTGCAAAACTGCATATGAGGACATATATGTAACAATGGCGATCGCTGACATCCGCCATTTTTAGGGCAAATGCTTTTTTCAAAATCTAGAGCCTCCAAGAATGTCTATGCAAAGTTTCAGACTTCCAGCACAATTTTTCGGCGAGATATGAACTGAAAAATATGTTATTTGTAAAAACAGCGGATGTGAGAATCCACTGTTTTCCCCGACCGGCACGGCAGGACACTGTGGAGATTCGTACCCACTTGCGATAACTGCCCGCCCACTGGCCATGGGCTGTAGCTGACACTTAAATTATACGTATCAGGACCGTCTCGCCAGAATTTTTGAATTTTTAACTAATTTTAGAATTTGTTCCTTGTTTTTGTTGTAAAAGTTACAAACGGTTTACTTTCTTGTTCAATTTTGTTAAATGACTCAGCATTGACTTATGTTTGGTTCATTTCAATCGTTTCACCAGCCTTACCCTTCCTGACGACTTTGTTTCATGCATAAAAAAGTGTTTACAGTAAAAATAGTAGATGTCACATTTTTTTCAAATAGCTGTTACTCCTTCAATTTTTCACTTACATATATCGTAAAACGTGTGTTTTTTACCGGAAGAGTTGCTCTTCATGAAAATCTTTACAAAAATCCTCTCGGTTCTACGGGCGGAAAAGTGCAAAGCTTCAAAAACTTTACACTCGATTTTCTCACAATGTGAAAACTCGACATCTGCTATTGTTACAGATAAGTCCTCATATGAGAAAGTTGCAGACTTCCAATCATGCTTCATTTTTCTTTGAAAAACTAATCAATGTAGTTTTCTGAAAACTTTCTTCGTTTTTCTTCTGTGTTAGCAGAATATTCTGTATCAATTTCAAACTGCATATAAAATTATTTTGTTGCTCTTCATAAAAATAAAATGGGAATGGACATTTTGAAACACTGCAATAAAGATACATGGTTTGGCATTTCGGCAATTGATATTTTCTTCTGATATCTGAACGTAGATGGACTTCATTTACTTGATGTTCCTAGTAGATATTCCTACCATTAGAATAAAATTGAGATCAACTTACCAATGAACAAAACAATACCCAGGCACTCATAGCCCTTGTAATATTTGTTTACGTAGTGATACAGCGGCTCCACAACTTGGAAATTGACAAATGAGCCTACTCGAGCAAAACTCATTTGAAAACCGAACACCAGGTTCAATTCCTTGCCTTTGAACCATAAAACTGCATAATTGTTCTGCGCCACTGCTAATGACTCTCCTCCGATCCTGAGAAAAAACAGTGAAACACTGACCTTAAAAAATTTTCACACAAAAATCCTGACGAATTTTCAATGAAAAGTAAGTATCCCTCAAAATACAAGACTAAGTGAAATAAGTAAGAAGCTCATATACATCAAAAAACCTCAGTTTCTTTTGTTCACTCAGAGGATTTTGATTAAAATAATTCTTGGCTGTCTGAGATGCTTTAAACCCTAGTACTCCTGAGTCAGGCATTGAGGGCCAAGCAATGGGTGGAAACCTTGTTTTTTCACTTAAACAAATTTTAACTACTGGTGCTTAAAATATAGAATATTAGAATTAGTAGAGGCATTCTCAGGGTGTCTACAGATTCTATGAGAAAAATTCTCTGACTTTTCATTACAACAATTTGCATGCGTAAAACTGAAACCGAACGATTATTTGCAGCATTCATTTCACAGCAAATACAGTGGGCGCCGCTTATTGTGGTCAACTTGGGCCGGGCCACTTTGATCACATTAAACGGCTGATTATAAAAAGCGAAAAAAAAAAAGTGAAGTTACTCACGATGATTTTGTCCCGACAACCTTCAATTCCGAGTCTTTTAGCTAAAGACTCGGCTTTTTGGCGCATGATAGGACCGTTTACACGAGCATCTTTCTCGCGCACTTGCACAAACCACTCTTTTAATGCTTGTTCAACTTGCACATTTTTACCGTGCCGCACACGTTTACGCGCACTTCCTTCATTTTTTTCCACCGGCTTCTTCTCGATTTCATACCGATTCTTTACGAGTTTACACAAAGTAGACTGCGGTATTTGTAACTTCTGCGCAGCATCCCGCTGATTTTTATTCAAAAGTTTGTCGTAATCCTGTAGAATTTGTTTCTTTTCTGCCGTGGTTAAGTCTCTTCGACGTTTCCTTGAGTCCGCCTCCATAGCTTCAGTCAAAAAATAAAACTTTAAAAACGGCAATAAAACTTTAAAATGGGGAAACACTGAACTGTACGGACGCGATGCGAGTCTAATAACCGCGCGGAAGGCACTGATTAGGTGTGTCTGTCAACAAAAATAAGCTCTCACACCAGGTAAGTGCTGATAAGGCTCCGGATTCCCGATCACAATATGCGGCCGGCGAACACAATACGCGGCGGATTTCGTATGGAATTGGATGTTGCCGGTCCGTTCCGCGAGAAATGATTCCATTATGCGGCCGATTCTATTAACCACGTTTCTAATAAGCGGCGCCCACTGTAACACAAATGTGCCAGTCTTTTTTCTTCAGATATTTGACATTTGGTGCTGACTGAAATTGCAATCCTGCATTGAAAATTATTCCACTATTCAATATTGAGAGTGTGATATGGAGCTTTGAAATCCTGAACCAAACAGCAACACTGAATCATTGTGTGGACAGCGCTAATGTTCTTTTTCTAGATTTCAAGTTTCAAGTTCATAATTTTAACACTCTTGAAGATTTTATAAAATCATTACTATGGGTTCGGATTATTCTGATTAAAATAGATAGTCCAAGAACTTTTTCTGTAATTATCAAAATAATGAAGTATAGAATGTTGTGATTTTCTATATTTATAGTTTTAATCAAAATTATTATCGCGATAATTAACACAGTCAAACGTGATTATCGTGGTCAAACATCCCTATTTTGTAAAATTACCCACCTCTCTCCGGATTTAATTCCCTGAGTGTATCCAGTTTTACAGATTTTTCAGGATATCATTCCTTTTTTTCTTCTTTTTTTTTGTATCAATAAGTACTGACATCCTGTACAAAGAAATTACAGTGAAGATTTGTTGAGCTTTAAATGCAGCATCTAAAATCAGATTGATTTTCAAACTTTAATTCATAACAGGACAATGCAGTTCCAACTTACCCAAAGATGAATCTGCCAGCTATCATTATCCATAAGGAATTGTTAAATGCACCGCTCGCAAAAATCAATTGCCCCACACATACAAGCATCGCATACAGCATCGTGCCAAATCGGATTCCAAAGACCCTGAAATCAATTATAACATCAAACATTAAACTTTGAAGCATTGGAACAAGTGTTGAATAGAGCATGTCCTCTGAGAATGAACCAAAAAGTAAAAAGATTGTGCAACTTGTGATAAATTTTTGGGACGGTTTTTCAGATATCTGCTAGACTCTTTAAAATCCATTAAGAGTAAATCTTTGATTGCAAATGCAAGTATTCAATGATCAGTGGTTTGAGGAGATAATTTTCAGGAGAGGGGCGAGCTGAAAAGAAGCTAAGATTGTTCACATGGGGTCTAAGAAAATTATCAGATCGAATCAGAATAATCGACCTTGGCACATTCTCCAATTACAAGGATATAAAGCCTCCTGCCCCCTCCCTCCAAAAAATTGTGCTATGAAAAATTGAATTCATTTTACAAAAAAAGAACCACATTGTCCTAAAAACGACTCAAGGGCCATTGATTTCATATGCAAATACATAGGTGCTTTCATGCAGCCAGAGAAGATTGTTCCTTAGAGAAATAAAGTAAAGTCCAAATATGATTATCAGAGAGATACGTTTCAGCTCGCCGATGTACCTATCTCGCAAAATAAGGGCAAAAAATATGTTTGCAAAAACTTTTGAGCAATAGGCACATAAAGGTGTGAATGGTGATAAGAAAAGATAATTGGGCTGCGTAAAGAGGAGTGTGGGAAAAAGATAAAATTGAGCTCCTTGTGCAGAGAAAAGCAAATATTTGGGAGTTGATATGACAATGATCAATAAGCAAGAACCGCATGGCTGATACAAAGACAAGCTGCCAGATTTCTGGCTTGGAATTCAATTCTTAGCATCAGCTCAGAGCGGTAATGACATAATTAATAGCTTGCCTAATGATGAACTAATGACCTGTGGGAGCACGATCAAGCAAAAGGAGATAATAATTACACAATCAAGTGATGATTAAAATACAACTATTTGTCCACCTCCACGAATGAATCTTTCTCACGCAGGCGTCTGGTGTTAATAAATTACAAGACCTACTCTTTATCGATGATCTGAATTAGTTAATTTTGCAGATTTGGGAACTGATAGTGACCTATGTAAAGGTCATTAACTCAGCTGATATGGACTGAAATTAACAGAAAGGAACCACGTCACATTTTGTCAAAATGAAGAGAGAGGGGGTTTGCTTTTCCCCCTTCTAAATGATTCTTGCCGAATAAAAAACATTGGATCCATGTTTTACAGAATCAAAGGCTGCAATTTTTAGGCAGGAGTAAGTGAATTAATTCTATTTCTTAAAAGAAAGTGTGCACAAGTTCAACTTGAATTAATTAGAATTAAAAAATTAAATTTAAAATCTGGGCACTATACCTACATTTATTATAGGCGTTTATTACTTACATAGCTTAAGCTTTTCCTGCCCAATAATTTTGTGACAACCACTTCTTACTGGGTGGATTGTTCATTGTTTTAATCCGCAATACTCAGAGCTTGATATTGTCATATTGAAATGAAATTACATAAGCAAAATTCATCCTTTGGGACACAGACTAGGATTTTCTTTTGAAGACTCAAATTAATTGAACTTGATAATATTGTCTTTCTAAAAAACTTAATTTTGTTAACTGAGGTTTCTCACCAATGTGCAGTCACAACTTAACACAGCTTTTAACCCATTCGCCTTACGTACAAGTATACTTGTCAGCGTGCGTTCAGGACATATCTCAGCTGATTAATTAACTCGCGCCACTTGTCAGCGTTGCTACGCTTGAAATGCCATCAATAGGGAAAACGACCAAGACAACCACATAGCGATGCTGACAGATGGCGCGAATTAACTCGTAAACTGAGCTATGTCTCAGGCGCGCGCTGACGGGTATACTCATCAAATGAGGCAAATGTTAAGGTATGTTACAAACATTAAGTTCAAAATGAAATGCTAGAGCATTTCAGAGGATATTGCAGGTTATAATAGACTCCGAGAGCAATATCGTTGCTCACCTATCTATCAGGAATCCACCAACAAAGCAGAGGATGACGTTTGGCCAGGAGTACCATGAGTACAGTTGTACAAATTCAGAGGTCGAGAGCCCCATATCATCAATAAAGTCATCTTGTAATGCTCCAGGATTATCATAACAAAAATATGATCCTAGAACATATCATTCAGAAAAAATAATGATTAAAACGAGTAATTATTGTTTTAGGTAAACAGTATTCTAAAATATGTTGGAAATAAAGTGAAAAATAAAGAGATATTAATGGGGATCTAGAAGCAAAGTCAGAACTCGCATCCCTGTTCTTACGGTGGACAACAATAGAATCTCCCAGCCAGTCAATGAGAGTCTCAGATTGTGTACTAGTCGCAAAAGGGCATGAAATGGATCAGTCCCATCGCGCAGAGCAGAGCAGAGCAGAGAGAATATGAATCTCAGGCAGTTGAAAGAAGAGTAGATTTTCCCCCTATTCAACACCTTCACTTCAAGTTCGATTTTTTCATGCAGGAAAATTAATATTCAATTGAAACTTTTAGAGAACATATTTTGTCTCGCTGTTGATACATTTCATCCATAAAAACTTGTCATTTTTATTCTCACAAAAAGAACTTAGGCATAGAAAAACAGGATTCCCCAATAAGAATACGTGGCAATTTGAATCACCTTTAGGTACGACTAGTTCACAGCTATATTGTGAGAGTACCTACTTTGCTTCTAGATCCCTAGATATTACAAATTGCGCTAGTAAATCTTGACTGAGTACTAAATGAGAACAGTACAAAACGACACTACGATAAAACACAGGAGGCTCATCGATTCTAACAAAAAACAAGACTTACATAGAACTTTCATAAAAAAGCAACATCGCAGTGCTCACTGATGAGGCGGACAGTCAAAGACGTTTCTAGTTGTTGCTGATGCTTCCAGCAGATGCTGAAATAACCTAAAAATGTGATTAAAAGTTGGACATCACATAATTCAGCAAGACTTTTGGTATATGAGCTCTCTATTTTCAGTCAGAAATATATCTGATTTTGACAAAGTGAAATATTATTAGAGTGAGCAAAACTAGCCGAGTCATCAATCACCTACGATACAATCCTTTGGTCAAGAGGTGCCTCAAGCAATCTTCTAAAGAGAAGAAAATCAATATGATAGAGTATGCCCATGTCCTGCATCCACACAGAGCGTGCAATAGAGTAGGTCAGCGGGTACTACATAATCTCAGTACCTGTTCAATCATTTACCTAATGGAACAGAGTAGGCAATCAAGCTACACTTACCAAATCCGAGGACGCACATGAAGACCAGGGCAAAGAGTCTCGAGCAGCCTCCATTCGGATGGCAGCAACCGTTGTTTTGTGCGCCGCCATTGCTTTCAATATCATCGACCGGGGATGGTATCCTGGAAATTTCGTCACCTTCTGTGTCTTCTGCAGCGAGGAGCGGTTCTCTGACAGCCATGATTCACAATGTTTTGATAACTCTGAAAGATGAATGTCTGAATCTCATTCAGGAAGACCCGTAGATCCGGACTCAAGGAAGTATTACAAACAAAGAGCCACTACTGATCATAAGATATTCGCAGAGGGGTGGAAGTGAACAGTTTCTCACATAATTAAAATTATGAGGTATTGAAAGGGCACCAGACCGAAATTCAACAGCATCTTGTTGAGGCAGGTTAAGACAGTGTATTAAACACAGTTCGTAGACATTGGCAGTGAAACGAAAGGCTAAAAGAAGCCCGACGATCAGTTAAATTGATAAGGAACTATGATTGTCAGCTTCTGACACCCAAAAAGGAAACAAAAGACTTCAAGTGTGAGTGATAACTTTACCAGCTGGAAATCACAAACTTTGTAGGGACACTGTAGGTTTCAGATCACTGAAGAAAACATGAAGTAGCTCACAAACGTCCTCACAAATGAATTAAATTGTGGAATTAAATGTTAGAATTAAAACAAAAGCAGTTGGGAGTCACTAATCAGTAAAACAACTCGTCTGATAAGTGAAATTCGTCATCACTATCAGTCGATTCGTCACACGATTGCTTGTTGCCAAATGGATTGTTTTGGTCGCCATCTTGTTTGTAAACCGGTAAACCTCATCGTCCCGCCCAAAAATGGCGCCAATTTTAAACTTGGCGCGAAGTCCAAAGTATTCCGCGGCCGAAATACCATCGTGTAACCATAGAAACAGTTGAAATTAGGAGGAAGTCGAAGAGACTGTTCATTGAATAAAAGACGAAAATTCCAGGAGAGTCCTTGCTACATGCGGTGAATTGTTATTTGAATTTGAACAATTTAAATGAAATTAGTGTCGTAGAACAGTTTTTCTAAGGAAAATACGAAGGGCAAATCTCATCGTCATAATGCGGCACGTTATTTTTGTGCTACATTCTGCATCTATTTTTGCATATATTTTTTCTCCGTTTGAAAGTATGTAAAACTGTCTAGATATGAAAATGAAGCAGAGTACTGAGTATCTCTGCCTCGTCATCAAAAAAATATTTTTAAATAATTTACATGGTGGAAAAACAGTTTTACCAGCAGGGCCGGATTTAGGGGGTGGCCACATGGGCCAAGGCCCATGGGCCTTTGCAATTTTTTTAAGTGTAGGTATATAAAAAAATCTGATTTAGAAAAAAATTACAAACGAGAAAAGGCAACATAATCTCTCATTTCCTGAGAGTATAGTAATTCCTAAGTTTGTCGTCTTTCGGTGATACAAGAGACAGTACCATTAATTAGTCAAGAGAAGAGAGAAACCAAACACGCAATTTGGCCTGGAGCGGAGCGGCGCAGAGAGCAATGATGACGAGGACTTGAGATGAAAAGGAGAAGCCCTCGACGCGGCGGTCGGCATGTAACACATTTAAGCGCCTACAAGACTGCATGAATACTTCACGCATTGCACCAAACACAGTGCGGTCAGCGCAGCACGGCGGCGGAGGTTAAAATTATTAAACCACATTCAAGTTTGTTCTTTCATAATTGAAGACACCGCAACAAAAACAGCCTATAACTGGAAACCGCGTTTTGAGAAAAACGCATTTAAAGTTTGGTTTTTGATGTACTGCGCAGACTTTTCTATGCAGGTACACCTACCCTGTTTTGGTGTTTTTGGGTGACCTAACCCTTCTATTGAAGGATGTCGGGTAGATTTTGCGATACATTTTGGGTTTATACTCTCATATATTTAATTTAAAAACGCGGTTTATAGGCCATTATTACGCCCAACAGTCATGTTGGTGGCAATATGAAGTATAAATCATTTTAATCACGCATGGTTAACACAAAATGAAAGAATATCGATAGTGTTCCTATCGAGCTGTTACCTATCTATATTCTATCGCTTCCACAGCATTATAGTCCAGGGTACGTAGAATCCGAAAATATCCACGCACTCTCCTTTTTTCGGGACGACTGCTGCCAACCATGAAAATCGAGACTTCACCGAGTTCGTACTGGGCTCCTGGGCAACAAGGATCCCTGGAAAATCGAGATCACCTTTAGGAACACTCTGTATCTACACACTCTCCTTTATTCCGAATGACT